ATATCTTCCACAAATATCTCAAGGTTACATAGCAGTTTCAACAGTTCTTTGTGACATACTTTATCAAACGCTTTTGCTTAATCTGTAAAACGCAGATACAGCTTTTTACACGCTTTTTGCTTAATCTCTGAAACACAGATTCACCTTTTTAAACACTTTTTGCTTAATATGTAAAACACAGATACACATTTTTACACGCTTTTTGCTTCATCTGTATGTTATGGGAACTTACCCATGATAATAATGAACTATTCCTGACATTATAAATACAGCGTAAGAGGTATGAGGATGTTGTAAGACGATGATGAGATAATTGAGAGCATATTGTAAGGACATTGGAATAGTGATACTTGTCGAGACAACATAGTTCACTCTAACCAATTCTGATAGTCATTACTAATAATTCTACTTCTTTGTATTATATTTCTGTTGTAATATATCTTTGTATTCCATATCTGTGTTCGTGTTATTCTTTCATTGGTTCTAACCTTGGACCATCACCGTGGTACAAGGAACTGGTACCATAACACTGTAAAACACAGATACACCTTTTTATACGCTTCTTGCTTAATCTGTAAAACACAAATTCACCTTTTTACACGCTTTTTGCTTCATCTGTGAAACACAGATACACCTTTTTACACGCTATTTGCTTAATCTGTAAAACACAGATACACCTCCGTCTGCATTTGTACTGCTCGTTCCGATATCATTCGGAGCATAAATACCACATTCCTTGTCTCAGTGTCTTTCACAAACTCTCACTGTTTTTGTCCTATCAAAAACACCTACAAAACTTCTATCAAAGCACTTGCCAAAACACTCCAGCAATATACATAACAGATCAGTTGCTTCAGTGGCAACTTGCTGTTAGCAAAAAATGAATCGTCTCTGAAACTTCGACGATGTTTGCAAGATTTTCAATACAAACGATAGCCATCTGTTGTATTTTGATTGGCTCTTATTCTATCTGCCGGCCAGTTGCAATGGTTGTAATGTAATCTGTTGTGAATGAGCCGTCCTTGTGTTAACCAACGTAGCCCAGTTATAGTCTCCCTAAGATGGCTGCCGAGTTCCAGTAAGTACCCATCTTTATTCAAAATATATCCATGTGATAATAATTCATTTGAATCGACGATTGACTTTGGGGCGCTTGGTCTGCCACGAGATATTAAACTATTTTAAGCCAAGAACATCTCTAAAATCGAAAAAAAATAAAGATATAAAATTAACAGTTTATTTTACGACGTTTAAGTGAGGCAAACTTTGACAGATAATTTTACTCCGCTTATGTCAATGACTACCAAAAGCTTTTCTGTATCTCAAAGCAGGAAACTTTCGACAAAATGTTTCATTTATCTAATCAAGTTGCTGACAATAAACCTCTGCAGTGATGGTAATTCCCTCTTCCATTTAACACTCAACGGACGACGCCTTTTCATATTTTCATATTCCACCAGACACAAAGCAAAGATTATTCTGGCTGGAGTCTTAGTTTTTTGGGGTTGGCACTGGTTTCTCCTTTTGTAATAACCATTTTCTTTTTCTGATTTTCTGCTGACGTCCAGAACTTACTTTCCATTATTTGCAACAAATGCGATGCAAAAATGAAAGGTTGGAATTCCTGGTTGAACGACCCCTGGAGGTAGGTGCAACGTTGTGTTCGTCTCTCAAGCGTATACTTATTAGTGAGTTAATTAAGTGACATACGTAATATACGCTTGAGCAATCTTATCTCTTTCGAGCTCTGACTAGGCACAATATTTTTCTCGAAGTAGGTTGTCATTTCTTTCTACGGTAAACCGGTTGCCACTCAAGGCTATAGAATCCAGTCTGTCCTACTATTTACCCACAGATGGGGGGAGAAGAGTTAGGATTCATGCTTTCCCCAGTGAATGTGATGAAATCGACTAGAATTCGAACTCGGCTCTCCTATTCCTCAATCCGAGCCGCAATCCATTACTCTGCCGTCAGATACTCACAGCCAGATAGAAGAGATGATAGGCTAATTCTAGATGTAGTTTCCTACCATTCATCCTTGGTTCTGCATTGATTGTTTGATCCCATAATTCATAGCAGTAGAATACGTTTGATCTTATAATTCATAGCAGTAGAATACGTTTGATCTTATAATTCATAGCAGTAGAATACGTTTGATCCCATAATTCATAGCAGTAGAATACGTTTAATCTCATAATTCATAGCAGTAGAATTCGTTTGATCTCATAATTCATAGCAGTAGAATACGTTTGATCTCATAATTCATAGCAGTAGAATACGTTTGATCTCATAATTCATAGCAGTAGAATACGTAATTACTTTCCGAACACCCAGATTCGAACTGACATGAGGTTAAAAAATTCCACAATTTTATTGGCTTAGTAGAAAAACGCTGTTTAAGTGCATGCAATTTTATCTAGTGCTCGAGGGTTCAATCTCAGGATCAATTCATCGATCCGGCTCAATGAAAGGAGCAAGAAGCGATATAAAAAGGAAGGACTTGAGAGGAATTCATTTACATTGTTTACAGTCGGACAAATGTCCTCATCTTTGTTGTCATTATGTTATACCATAATACCTATTCTATTGTAATAGACTCTCCCACAGATAATAAGTAGTAGTAGCAGTGGCCAGTTTGGCTCAGTGGTGTTGAGTGAGTCTGTCGGACATGGAAGTATCATCCATCACAACTAGATTTGCTGCGTCATTAACTCTTATTTCAAGTTCCTAACGTTTTTGTACGTCGAACCTAATTTAGGACGACTTATTGAAATACAAGCCTCCACTGTGAAAACTACTCTACAACACATTATCACAGCATTTTGATGTTTGTGCTCCCTGTCAGGTATCTGCCGATCCAGACAACTGACTGGATATTTCGAAATGAAGCCTTTATTTAATCTACAGGGAAATATGTTTGACGCTTTTGCATCCCTAAACGCTGATGCAACAACAAATCGTGTGGCAGTTATGTAACAATGATGCAAATCGAAAATCCAATCACTGGAAGGAACAACAAATTGTGATATGATGGATGATTACTTTGCAGAGTTTGGCTGCAATCAAATATTCAAGATTTTGTCATTTCTGGCATCAATTTGCCACAATTTTACATTCTGTTTAATAATATTGATTCTTGTATTTCTATTAAAATGAAAACACATTTTAAAAAAAATCACCCCATGCAAGGCAGGAAAGCCACTACGACATAAGGTGTTACTGAGCGTGAAAGAAACACTTCAACTAAGACTAAAGGCTTCAACACTCCCATTGTGCTGACCGCGTACCTGGACACCAAGCCAGGCATTTCTACATCTCTGCGCCTGCGTCAGATGTCCGTTGAAATGATTAATTCGACATTTGGCAGGTGTTGTTTTTAATCCTGCTGGTTGTCTCGCCAGCCTCTGCACCAGAAAAACCTGGTTGGGGAATCGGGTCAGTTGTCGATAACCCGACCATGCCGCAGGTAATACTGGGTTGCATAATACCAGTTACACTCATTGACTGACGTCAGCATATATTTTTTAATCAATTCCCCCCAAACAAGGCGATAATGCCACTAACACACAAGGGGGCTACAGGGAGTGAAAGAGAAAAAAAGATTTTAGAAAAAACCGGAAACCGAATCGTAAACACCAACCAAAGAATAAAACACTTGTTCAGAAGACGATGAAAGAGTGTACATGAAACATCGGTGTTATCGCTGAATAAAAAATGTGTGTATATATATATATATATATATATATATATATATGTGTGTATGTGTATGTGTGTGTGAAAAATATTTAGAAAATAGGAAAGAACTCGTTAGGTAAATAATCTAAAGTTCTTTAGTATTTTTGTTATTATTTTAAAAAATAGTGCTCGATACAAAAGTAAAGCATAAATATAATTATTTATTTAAAATATATTTCAACACGCTACATAAGAGTTCTCATGTTTCAAAACAAGAGCCGAAAACTTCAATATAATTATTTGAACTAAATTTAATTAAAGTACTAAGCTCTGTTCCATCTTCGAGCGAAATTTTTTTGGGAATTGAAGTTTTCGGCTCTTGTTTTGAAACATGATAACTCTTATGTAGCGTGTTGGAATCATATTTTTAGATAAATAATTATATATATATATATATATATATGAAGAAATATAGTCTTAAGGTGTGCTATATTTATGGGATAAAGTGCTCAATATCAGAGATAGGGCGTGTGTAAATATAAAAGTGAACATAGAAGTCAACACTTGAGGCGACAGTCTGTTTCATGCTATTTGCAATCGTCAGGCCACCACGATTGCATATAGCATGAAACAGACTGTTGCCTCTAATGTTGACTTTATGTTCATATATATATATATATATATATATATATATATATATTAAATGAAATTCATCCCATGTAAGGCAGTAAAGTCTCTAAGACACAAGGGGCGCGGAAAAGAATTAGAAAACAGAAACATTACTCAGGAGCGAGAACATAAGACGAGCAATCAGGAGAACAGTAGATAACGATTAACATTGCATTTAAATTTTTAAAGATCAAAGTTGGCCGGAAAGCATGGACCCGGAAGTGAGTTCTATGTGATTGAAATTTTCTTCAATGGCGTCTAGAACCTATTATGTTTTCAATTTAAATTTCGGTGTGCGAGAAATAAACAAATGTTGTTCTGATTTGGGTATTTTCTTGTTCTGATAAGATATTTTGTTTCCTTCACTTGGTTTTCAGTTATCGTTGGTCCTGTTTTTACTGAGTCCAAGCCTGGACTACCCGGGCTAAGGATGAAAATTACACTTGCTATACCACCATATTCAGGAAGCGAGGCTTTAATTCACTAAATCTAAATCAAGGAGCCTTAAGCCTAATATGTTTATTGCCTTTCTATAGCTTCCTTGCTGTCACGTTTAACCCCAATCCTATTCTGCTGTTTCTGTCTTCTTACTGTAGCTGCTGTTGAAGCCTTGATGTCAAGTTTGGCTCTCTCCATCGCCGCTTCACTTTCTTTCTTTAGCTTCCGTTGGCATGGAGATCGGAATGAGGATAGTCTACCTGATTGAAACAGAGATAGATAGATAGATAGATAGATAGATAGATAGATAGATAGATAATGAAGGACTGGGAGAGATAGATAATGAAGGAATGGGATAGATAGATAGATAGATAGATAGATAGATAGATAGATAGATAGAAAGAAAAAATATAGATAGATAGATAATGAAGGACTGGGAGAGATAGATAATGAAGGAATGGGATAGATAGATAGATAGATAGATAGATAGAAAAAATATAGCTAGCTAGATAGATAGATAATGAAGGACTGGCATAGATAGATAGATAGATAGATAGATAGAAAGAAAGAAAAATATAGATAGATAGATAATGAAGGACTGACATAGATAGATGGTGTTGTGGTAGGATCCACCTAATTTGCATAGTGGAGTACCGACCATATAAATATGGTTGGTACCGGGAAGAGAGGAAGGAATCAAGAGATTCAACCAGAGACTCTGCCCGACTGCGACTCAGTCAACACATTCTCCAGGAACGGTCTTACCAGGAATATACAAAAGACTATATGTAAATATTGTGTACACTTTCTTGTTTCAATACATTTTGTTCTAAGTTCATTTTGTGTTGCATTATTAATCCATGCATTAGTCAAGTTTCAACAGATAGATAGACAGACAGATAGATAGATAGATATAAAGAAACGAGATAGATAGATAGATAGATAGATAGATAGATAGATAGATAGATAATGGTAATAATAGTTATATTAGCTGTTTCCTTATAAGGAAACATTTGGCATTTATTGACCGAGCAGCTAGTACTGTTTGCTGTTGAAATTTATAAAATGCTCCTCTTAAAACACTTTTTCTTTTTTTATGAAGACAGGATTCTCGAGTCCAGTAGCTTTTATCGCTCTTTCCTGTATTGATCGGGTTTTCTTCCGAACAATTCCATTTGAATTGATATTGTATGTTAACATCTTGATTATGTCATTTTCTCTTCGATTTAAATGTGCTATCTATTTTAGAGGTTGCTGCTGTTGGCTGTCCTCAAATAATGTCGTTTCTGTTATTTGGTGCAGTTCTTTCTGATTCTATAGCGCCAGTTCACAATGTTCAAAGAAGGATGCTTCAGGCTTTACTCGCTCAAAGCCTTTCTTCACTCTCGATCTTAGGAAGCGGCTGTATACAGACATAATGTATTTAAACATGCATATGCGAATATATGTTAATGTCTGAATAAGTAAAAGTTAGCCGACAACACTCTCTTTATATTTATATTTCAAAATGTCGCTCAAAGAGATTGACAGAGAAAAGAGAAGAGAGAACAGGCAAGGATGTTTTTATTTTTTTTAATGTAACCAGCAATGCGCATGCGTGAGTGAATACAAGCATGCGTGTATATGTTTCAATCGATTTATTTTATTTCAAAAAGAACTTTCTCTCAGTTGATAGAAGAAATCAGATTGCGTGGATGCGCGCTTATTACAAATGTATATCGATATGTTGTATGTGTTAATATATGTATGTGTTTCGTTCTCCCGTCACATGATCACATGATCACTTATTTTTGGAGAGTAGTGACATTGAGATGTGAACACAGGTCCTTTGCACCGGCCGTTTGTCCCTCCGTTCATGGCCTGAAATTGAAGTGTTGGAGTGGCCAGAATTATCCCTCCTTACCTAAAAAGAAGAATGTTATAGTATAAAGCACGTAAATCGTAGAAATATGAATATTAGAAAAAAAATGACTTTAAGAGGATAAAAACATAGAAACAAAGAAAAAAAATAATGCAAGGGCTAAAATGGTTGAATAAAATGATTACCTTCGTTTATAAGTCAGCCATTTTGTTTTTTTCCCCGCTCTTTTTTAAGAGCTATTTCTTTGCAATATGTAGTACTACATGCACTTTACTTGGTCTAGTATTTTTAATTCAATATTATAATGCTTTTAATTTTTTTTTATAGAACTCTCGTTTTTGCCAGCCGTCAGTTTTGACCGGTACAGGATAAATATATATATATATATATATATATATATATATATATATATATATATATATATATATATATTTATTTGTGTAAGTCAAAACTATTCTCGTTTCTCGTTCACCCTTTAATTCCCGAATTCACTCTATCGCCGAAGAGAAACAAGGCAGTGATAAAAAAAAAAAGGAAATATTGTATCGGACACAGGCCGATGCCTGTGAACAGATGGTCAAGTAGCATTTCCCGCCACGACATAATGGCCAGACAAGTTTCACAAATATTCATAGCGTGCAAGTGGAGTGTTTGTGAGTCAGTAATCTGTTAACTAATGTCTATATTGAAAGTGCTTTTCAAGCTGATTCTTTCTCCTTGTTCATCGCATTTCCAATTTTTGCTATTCATAAACGAACACAATTCTTTTTTTATTCTTTGTATACAATTTTATCTTTCCTTCACTATCAACAAGAATCTGTAAACGTGTTTCTATTTGGCTTCTTTATTCGATTCGG